GGGGGGGGGGGGGGGGGTGGAGGGTAGTGGATAAGTAGGATATTTTAAAAATGGAATACGAAGCATTTTCGGTCCTTAATAATGGGATCATGTGACCCAACAAGTCCCAGTGTCGGCGGAAAAACAAATGGAACTGACAAGACGAGACTGCTGGTAAACAGTTATGTTTGCGGGTAAATACCCCGACAGTGTTTGCAAAATTGCTACTTGGGGCGTACTGTCCCGCGAGCCTCGAAAGAGTTTAAGCACGCAAATTTACGACGGGCAAATTTACGATTCATTCGCAAAATAGCAGCATTGTGTAAGCTATCAAAAATCGTTGAATCTTTGGTATTTATGCAGCGGGAAAACCCAAGAATATACACGCATGTACGTGTATTAAATAATAACGATAATTTTGTCGCACAGAAAAAACACAGATTTTTGACATATAAATTATCGCACACGGCTCAGGTACTTAACTGTAACGCTCTTTAATGATACTTTCTCTCATAACGCTCGACACGCCACTCATCGCTAAACTGCGGATTTTCATGCAAAATAAAAATGATCTGCGCTTGATTTCTTGCCTTCACAATTTTAATAAGTTCACCGTAGTACAATAATATTTTCAAATTGTTTTAACGTCCTTGACGTTTTGCAATTGACGTATTCATTTTTGTAATAAATGCATAGAATCCGCGAGTTTATTCATTACTCGCAACAATAATCTCACAATAAAAAAACTGTTTAAGAATTACATTACATCATTATATCCAACAAAAATTGAAATATACGAGATATTTTCTTCTTTTCTATTCAATGTTTCTATAAGTCAAAAATTACATGAGTCATCTATCGATGACTTTTTATGAACGATCATGCGATGGCAGCGGAGCAAGGGTCGCGGTTGACCAGCCCTGACCAGCGAATGGTTTATCTCCGCGTTTACCGTCGTTTAAGATATTAAAAATGATCCGCAAACTGAGGCGTTTATTTTATTGCCAACCACAGCCGCGACGAACGATTTACGGTGTATAATTTTCAATGAATACTGGGTCACGTGGTCGTTAACAAAAATCCCTTTCACGGTGCGCAGGAAGGAGGAAAAAAAAGACGCGGCGCGTAAACCGCAACCTCGATTCGAACGAAAACTACGTCGCGGGCTCGTTTTCATGATCTATAAACATGGTGGCGCGGCGGCAGTGGGAGACGATTTCGTTTCAATCCTAGCACATAAATTCTTGCACTCCAATGGAAAGTTATGAAACAAATTGATTCATTGATTGTCGCAATATTAGGTTGGTTCAGATTTTCTTTACACGCGAACGTTTGTCTCCCTGTTTTCGTTATGCTTTTGTTTTTGGCATAACCTGATTTATAGACCTATTGTCCATTGCCAGAGTCACATTTCAACAAAGGCGATTTTCTCAAAAGTGTTCCATTTTGTTATTTGTTTGGAATTTCGTGAGGATATGAATTCAACCGATATACGTGTAATCTTTTTATACCAGTATAAACTTGGTATTATTGCCGCAAAAGCTGCACGAAATATAAATCAGCCGTTTGGGGAGAATACTGTCAACGATCGAAAAGTGCAGCGTTGGTTTGAAAATTTTCGGTATTGTGATTTTTTCCTACAAAATGAACCGCGTTCAAGACCCAAAACGTCTGTGAAAAATGGTGCTCCGAAAGCATTGGTGGAAACGAATGTAACTGGAGCGATTCATTATTCATTCCTTCGAACTGGGGAGACAGTTACAGCCGAATAGTACTGCCAGTACATTGATGAAATGCATGAAAAATTGAAAATTATACACCCATCGTTTGTTAATCGGCATGGCCCAATACTTCTCCACGACAACGCTCGGCCGCATACGTCNATAATAATAATAATAATAATAATAATAATTTTATAATATAACATTTACGAATATCAGAAAAATGGGAGTGAGAGACTTCTATAACTGAAATCGGCAATTACTTAGTTGCCAACCCTATAGTTTTCCGATCCATTTCCGTCGTTAATAATAGAACTGCCGAGCTCTAAAATAACAACAATAATAATAATAATATTGTTATTTTTTATTATCCGTGAATGTTAGCAACTGGACAAATTGAATGCAGCAGTCAAGGAAAAGCGACCAGATTAATAACAATAATAATAACCAATAATTAATAATAACCAATTATTAATAATAGTAATAATAATAATAATTTTATAATATAACATTTACGGACATGATAAAAATGGGAGTGAGAGACATCTATAACTGAAATCGGCAAAAACTTAGCTGCCAACCCAATAACTCGGCGGCGTGAAGTATGAATGAATTTACATGAAACGCCCACCGTCCGGCGATACTGTAATAACGTTAATTTAAATTCTGCAAAGGAAAGCACGGATTTACATCTCCTACGCGGAGGAAGCTGCAAACGTAATTATAGAAGCGTTTTTATTTCGTAGCGTTGAATACATTTTCGCAAGCAGCGGCCCAAATTCTGTTATAATTGTAGCCGTTGAAATACATATATTTTGCGAGAGAATCGTAGAATCGAATGTAGTTTCTTCGCTCAGCGAACAATTTCAAATATTATCTTATGTTTATTAACCCTTTGCAGTCGGAGCTATTTTAATTCGAAATCCAAAAAGTGCTTTCTGATCTGCAGTATTTTTATTTCACATGATTCAGTGGAATAATTGCAATGTTAACAGTTCTTTAAATACAACAAATCTGGTACTGTTACAATTATTGAACGAAAAATGGTATAACAATATTTAGTGACATCTCGGACTCGTCGTTCGAGCGCAAAGGGTTAACAGCTTTAAAATCGTTCGATTTAAAACCTCGAATTTAAAGTCAACGAAATTGTTTTAACAACGAGCCGACAATTTTATTTACGTTACTTGGTCTTGGCACGAAGCGATGGCAACCATGTGTCCTCTGCCACAAGTGTTATTGCACTTCGGGGATGACCATTCCGACCATAAAGAGCTAATTTTCGCTGGGATCGAGGACCATGGCCCAATGTCTTCGCAGAACTAAAAGTTACGATTGAAAGATAAAATCGTGTTCGCTCTTTGATTCTAGATAAACCAAACACGATTCAGTTTTATTAGAAATTGGATAACGATTGCGAAACTGTGTGCAGAGGAACTTTAACTCGGATTGTAAAATGCACGGATATTCGCGTCGCGGTTAATGATTTGATATTTAAAGTTCGTTACAGCGCTCGTTAGTGGTAAGCGTCGATTAAAATGTCGGGACCCGCGCGCTAACTTTGTAACACGATTAACATTACTGGCTGTCTCTGATGACAATTTGAGGCGCACTGTGGCGTGTGTACTCCCTTTATGGTCGTCGCGGAGCATTGCGCGACGCCGCAAACACCGCGTGGCGAGCACAAGGACTCCGGCAAAGGATTTAAAAAACACGTGGGGAATCCTAAAAAGGAGAACATGGAATTACTTTCCGAGCCTCGGCTGGAAATTAATTTCTGCCATAAAAGAGATCAGTTGTGATGCATAAGAACCGCGGACGGTAGAATTTTCAAGATAGAAAGCTAATGATACGAGAGCCGAGAAATGTCAACGATTTTATTTGCATAGGAAAACGATTTTTCGATTTTTTTTGTTTTCATTTTATGCGTTACAGCATTTTTAATGACTGATCAGTAAATAAAACTAGCTCGATTAGCTTATATATATATATATATATATATATTATATATATAATAATTTCAGAAAAGGTTGTCTATATTATATATAAATAATTTGTTATATGAGCAAAGACAATTTTTCAATGCTCAATTGTTGACTTCGGAGAAATTATTATAAAACCGCTGGTAGATATATAAAGTGTTGATAGATGAACGTAATTAAAACAAAAGGTTTGCTTGTGAGTCGGGTAAAAGGTGCACGAGGATCGTGCATTTTGCAACCTGTTGTCTTATGCAGTCGGTGACCAGCCAGTGAAATGGAGCAGTTGCAACCGGGAGCATTTTCGCCGAGCAACGTTACGTCGCATAATCGCCTATGCACCCTTGCGCTGGTGTTCGAACGTGGTGTAGCCTCGGCGAAAGTGCAGTCAACCTTCCTACGTCTTGACAGCTCGGACGAGCACAAATCCCAGGAGTGAAGCGTCAGGCAAGGACAAATCCCGAGAAAAAATTCGCCCACGCCGGAATTATCAAGGACTTCGGATTCAGAGGGAATGCTACGCAATTCCACGAACAACTATAAACGTTAAGGAATATCGTGTTTAAAGGAAAACGTTGCAGTTTCTGGCACGAAGTAGCTGCGATAAGGTTTCAGATTAGATTTGAAGGGTATTTGCCTATGAAAAGATCAATTGGAACAATTAGTCGGAAAAGTACAAGGGAATCTAATTGATACATCACTGGCAATTAGTTGTAAATTAACGAATAACATGTTACCACCGGTTACGGATTTGTTAATTTATATGTAGTAATATTGTCAATTAGAAAATGTATATAATAAAAAGCTTTTCGCTTACAGCACAAAATCCTTCACCGATTTCTACGAAAGCACATTGTTGTAGATGCAACTGACGCACCCAATGCGTTATGTCATAATTAGGTGAGCCGTCCAAGTCTTTGGACACGTAGAGAAATGGTTCCCAATTGCTGCTGTCCGCGCGGAGTCCATCAATAATGCGACGAGCCTTTCCGCAAGAGATAATTAATACTATTGACATAAACGTGGATATAAACATAGCCTGTTGACATCATCGATTGATAACGGTACAAATTATGGAGATAATCGAAACTATAGTAACTTGAAGTTTGCTCGGACTTCAGTGCTTTTCCATCCGCTTAAGTTTAATCCATTTATTGTCTTCATTGTGTCTCCAATTCTCGTTGATAAAGCATTAGATTCGATGGATATGTCTAAATAAATATTAAACCAATCCTCGAACTTGATAAAAATATGGATGCCATTTAAATAACTCGGAGAAGTATAGAACTCGTCTCTATGTAAATAGCAGATATAATTTTAGACGTTGTCGTACGTCGCGATCTATATATATATATATATATTTGTGTTATTTAAATAAATCTAACTAAAGAGGTACAATTGTAAATTTGGTTTTCGCGCTTAAAATAGCCTTGAGGACATCTATTCGGAACTGGACCAGAACAGTACACGTATTCGTAACTTGAAATATATTCTAGTAATGAAAAACATGTCTACATATAACGATAAGTCACGTTGTGACTAAGTACAAGTTGTTATGTATGTACATGCGGTTTTTATTTTTGTACTTAATAAGTGTGAAAACTATATACAGATATCTGCAATATATTTTACAAACTGTACTCTTTTTTTTGGTTTGACAGTCTATTTAAATGTTAAGCAGGATTTTTGTCAAGATACATTTTTGTTACAATATCTAAACGAAGGTCTTTGAGTTTCACAAAGTCTGTAGTTTTACAACCTACCACAGGGCATCTGTAAACATAAAACTGTGTTAGTAAACTCATAGTTCGAAGGAGATCCAAAAATTTTCTGATAAAACACTTACCTGGTCTTTTCATTTATTTTCAACAATTCTGTGATAGTTTCTCTATCATAGGTGTGCCCGCATACTATGTTTTTCACAGGATCTACAATTCTCTTTTTAGAAATTGGATCGATCACATTTATTAAGCCTCCAGTTAACATCATGTCTACATCCTCGTCGTCATTTTCCTCCTCCTCTTTATCTCCTATTTCGTCTGAAATTGTACATGTCTCCAGTAATTATACGAAGTAAAAGAATGTATGTAGTTTTAATGTAAATTTTAATTTACCTAATAAGGCTTTTACGTGATTATCATAATCTATCAATTTGGAATTGTCAGATACATCGGTATTAATTTCAGATATAGAATTCTTATATTCCTATAATATGAACAATAGAAATGTATAACATTTTTGTTAAATCCTCAAACGAATATGATAGTGATATATTTACCTGTATAATGGTTTCTAAATCAGACTGTGCATTTTCATCATTGTATAAGTTGAATAAATGGTTTTTAGTATCTTCCACTGACCGTAACTTCTTACCTAAAACACAGTTGTTTTCCACAATATCCCTTAGCTCTTTTAATTTTTCTTTCACTTCATTTCCTCCTGAAATAACAGAAATAAATTACATAGTTGAAGTAGTAGCCAATTTAACCTTAAAAATATTTACCAAAATAAGATATTATATTAGCAGCTGTTTGTGTATAAGAATCGTGCAATTCTTCTATGGTTTGTTGAGACTGTGTCATTTTAAAAATCGGGGATTGAAAATTTATCGACTTGAATATTTGCATGCATCCGTGCAATGAGTTTTAGACACTTTTGGTATAAACTATTTCTATTATAACCTCTGGAGAACGAAAAACTAAATATAACTTCTGAGCCTACGTTATATAAAAGAACTAATAGATTTTGAATCGAACATTTATTGAAAACTAGAACGGTATAGTAATCATTTTTATTGAATTTCAAAATGACAATGCCAACATTCGTACATACATAGTTGGGAAAATTTACCACCAGATGTAGCTTCAATACACTTTTGAAATATCCTTTCACTTCAAATACACTTTTCGATAACCTTGAACCATACCTTGAACACGCTTAAAGAGAAATCGACACCCTTTTCGAAGTTCAATTGCAATACTGACTACAAATAAATACTTATCTATGTAACTTTTAACTTAGATCTTTGTTCACAGTGTTACGATTAGTCATGATGTTACGAATGACATTTGTTAATGCAATCTATCTATTTCTGGTAAGCCATTACAATAAAATTCTTATATCTGTTTAACATAAGTACAAGCAGTATTTACTTCATATAAAATTCATTTAAAAATAACTTTTCTTTTATTTTTCTAATGGAGAATCTAATTGTGATTCTAAACTCTTAGTTTGTTGGATTTCCAGCGAGATGGCGCTATCCAGCGCTATCGTCTATATCGCTCAGTGCCTGTTGTATTATTTTATAAATTGTAAATAATCAATTCTTTTTCCACTGTTTTAGGCTGTTTATAAAAAAAATGAAATCTATTTAAAAACAGAGGAATTTTAATAAATCTTTAATGTGCATGGAGAACGAAGCAATATGAAACGATTCTGCACATCATAAAATGAATGCATCTAACTTTTAAACAATTTCAGAATGTAATGTTACATATAATGTACCAATAGCGTATGCTAAAATTACTATATCAAAACATGAAATTGCACCAAAGTTTAGACACACTTTTATAACAACTTGTTGCATAAGTGACAAATTAGCTAGTCAGATAAGGTAGTGACCAAATTCATTGGACCTTGTGCAATTGTATGTTCTTGTTGGAATTATATTCATTTATAACACTATAAAGTAAGCTATTAAAAGTTAGTGTTGTATTCGTCTGGTAAGAATTCATCAAGATTAT